CCTTAGATACGATGTTAGTTTGCTACAATACCGAGAATNAGGGACCGCTGAAATAGAAAATTGAGAAATGAGGGTTCGCGTATGTGGGGAAGGAAAAAGAAGGCACAATTTTTTATATAGGCATAGCGCCCATATGTACCGCGCTATACTATAACGCGGTATATATGAGCGCTATACCTTCCCGCCCATTTTAAGTTCAAATATAGCGAGGTTATTCACCACGCTATACCTTAACGGACAAATGTGCCATTAAATTATAGCGAGATGAATAACCATGCTATATATAAAATGGTGCCCAATCTTTTTTTCACCTATTATTGTCGCTTGAGTTAAAAAAAACCATATTTAGGTTTCGGATTCTTAGAGAGACCAAAGAGAGAGAGAAGGAGCAAGTCTGAAACAATTCAGACGCAACGGGTGGGTAAAGTGAGTGCAGTCAAATCTAGCAAAAGTAAAAAAATTATTATTAAGGGATACTCATTTAATATTAATTAATTTGTATAAAATATGTAATTATGTCTATGAAACATAATTAAATGATAATTTCTCTATTAAAGGTAAATAAGTTTATAACCTAACAAACATAGCTAGGTAAAAATCTCTTGATAGTTTGATGTTTATGTTTCGGCGTTTCTCATAAGGATTCCTTAGTAGAATTTGTAAGGGTAGATTTTAGCTATTTAACTGTGTCAAGATATATTCATTTTTATGTCTGGGCCGATTCTTTTCTTACATTAAATAGTTTAAGCACTGGGCGGAAAACTAGGCAAATTTACTACGAACTTAATTTAGTGCCCGTGACCTAAGATTAAGGCTCCATAAACAGAACCAGGTTAAGATATAGGAAGAGAAGAACACATCTTAGCACCTGAGATAAGACTCAATGCCTAACAAAAATTGACCCAAAGAAAAGTTTGAATCATAGTGTGATTACTTTATAAAAAAAGAGAGTAGATTTTTACATTATCAATCCAATAAAAGCGATCTAGGGTTATGAGCTATTTAATAATTCTATTATATTTTTCACTTGAATTGATTAACTGGTTTATTGGTTGGCGGTGTTAATATTGCTCGTAAAAATCTGTCGAGCTCTTACTTGCTTATTCAAACTAACCTAACGTCTATATGTTTATGGAGTCAGAAATAACTAAAATGCATTCATAATTCCTGTATAATAATCAAGCAAGATGATTAGAAATGTCTATCCTAACCGCAAATCTGGTACACGATGTTCAGGTTCAAGAGGTTACTCTACTCAATTCTATGTGCAATCTAAAATTTTCACTTTTGAGTTCAATTCTAGATTCATAAATAGTATTCAAGTGGTGATCAAGCAATCAAATAATTAAGTGCAATATTGAATAAAATAAACCAATACAACAAATTAAGAAACCAAAATCAATATCCAAATAACAATAGTCATGAAAGAACCAAAACCTTAGAACATGAAGTTTAGCTCCACATAGACACGATATAGTAGCCAAACAATAAATTATTTAAAGAATAATGAAAATTACCAAGGTTGGTGAAAGAAAAATTAAAATTCAACCTCCACGGCAACACCCTGCTCTCCAAAATATGTCCATCCATGTTCAAAATGAGTTTTGGAATATTTATAGGTTAGGATAAAGTCTAGGAAGAAGTAATTACGTTCCAAACTGAAGGGGAGAAAAAATCGGCTCGGATAGGACTGTCAGTTTGAGACGCCAAAGTTTCATCGCCTAGCGCCATGAGAGGCTCCACATTTACTCCGCCTAGCGCTGTGAGAGGCGGCATTCTTGGCACCCTGGACAATGCCAGGCGATGTCCAGGGCTGTGAAGTTTCAAAGCCTTGCAGTATTCTGGACGGTGGAATTTCGGTGCTTTGCGCTGTCGTTTCTTTCGTGCTCTACTTCATCGTTTTTTATATCACTTTAGCAAATTTCCTTTCACTTCATGTTACACAAAATCTACTCAATTAAGAAAACGTCGTACAAAATATTATTATTACATAAAAAATTGTAAGGCAATTAATATCATAAAATGTAAAACTACTGCACAAACATCAATCAGTATTTGTAAAAAGACTAACATAGTTCAAAGTATTGTACCGTAGTATTATGTACCACTCCGCAAATTATTAGCTGGACATGTTTCATATCTTAATTTTATCTTTGTGACAACACCAGCTCCTTTTTTGTCCAAGAATAAGAGCCCCTAAAGAACTTGTGAACGAAGGTATTCTCGTTTTTAAGCAGAATATTACGGTCACAAGAACGTGAAAACCTTCTACTATCTCTTGATAGCAAATTTTATGCTAGATCTAGGAAGCCAAATGTCTTCGGCAATTGTGCATATAGTAAGAATTGAGAGAGTTGATGAAATTAGTGGAGATAAAGGAGAAACGTAATTGTTAAAGGATAATGTGCTTTTGTGAAAATAGCAGAGACAATTTTCGGACTTGTAATTGAAAAATAGCCAGCATTTGCAAAGTCACTGATAAATAGCCACTATTTTGCTGCAACATGGAAAGTTCCAGCATGATATACTGGAGATTGATGCACCTGTATATGAAGTTCCAACATATTATGCTGGAATTCCAGCACAAGGAAAGTTCCAGCATAATATACTGGAGATTGGAGCACCTGTGTATGAACTTCCTGCATATTATGCTGGAACTCCAGTATATTATGCTGGAAGTTCACTTGTAAAAAATTCGAACTCCAGTATATTATGCTGGAATATTTTCCTGATTTTGAACAGTATTTTCGTTCAATTTTATATTTACATGAAAAGTAGCTAAATTTTGATTACTTTTGAAACTTTAGCTATTTTTCAATTACTACTTGTAAATCTGACTATTTTTGAATTTCTCTCTGTGTTTTTGAATGAAAATGAAGTAGAGATACGGTAAAGAGAGAATACGAAGATGAAACAAATTGTTATTAAGAAAGGGCTAGTTGAAAATATATATCCTAGAGACTAAATTAAAACAAAGACAGCTCGGGCATAAAGCATTGGACAAAGTCCACGGAAAAGCTACACCCCAAAGAGTGTGATGTAGACAGCTTATCCTAATGCAAACATTTGTTACTGCTTCTACCACTCAAACTCGTAATTTATAAGTCATACGAAGACAACTTTACCCTTCCTCGGGGCTCCCTTCATCCTAGGTCCTATAGACTAAATAGCAAGAAAAAATAATTAGAGATGTGCATTTGAAAAAATAGTACCACCTAGAGATGCAACATGTAAAGGAATCCGAAATACTAGCTATATAAGAGAAAAAACAATTACCCAAAAAAAATGAGAATATTTTTTTAAAAAAAGGTTCCTGATATTTAATTCCAGAAATACCCATCAAACTTTTGAGAATCTCAGCATGAACGTGGTGGCATATTCGCCATTTACTTTTACAGCTTGTTTGGATGGTTGTTACTCATTGTATCGTATCGTATTGTTACTTTGAATACAATATTTGTTTTGATTATGACTTAAATTTTATTGTATCGTATCGTTAAATCCGTCGTTACATAACAACGAAATGTGTCACTTTATGTAATGATCGATTTATGTGGTCGCGTCGTTACCTTGCCTTTTTTTCTCAATCTCACCCTTTATTATTATTAAATTATTTTATTTTATCATTTACTCAATCTTTTTATATAGTAATTTTACCTTGTATCATAATTTTTCTTTGTAATATTGCAAGTTTATTCTTCATATTGCAAGTTTATTCTTCATATTGCTGGTGCGTGATATCATGAAACGATGGCAAACTACACAATCTATCCAAATATTGTATTTATCAAACGATACAGTACAATACAATACAGTACGATACAATACATTATGAAACGATGCGTAACAACCATCCAAACAAACTGTTAGAGTCTGTTTGGAAAGTCACCCTACAATTGGAATTGGTGTAATTACTAGAGTAATAATTTTACCGTCTAGTAATTATACAGTTGTGTAATTACGACGACCTTTTGTTTGTCATAGTGTAATTACAGTGTAATTACATATTTACTGTATGGTTGCACAAGTGTAATTACATAGTTAAATTAAATTTTAAATTAAGTAATTATCAAAACTTAAAAGTTAATATAATAAATATATGCCTATAAATTTTTATAAGTATAAATGAAGTTATATTTGGTATTTAAGATGTATATTTTTCGTGAATATACATTAATTTAGTAATCATATATTTATAACTAATATTGTAAAAATAATTTATATATATATATATACATATATATATATATATATATTTAAATTAATAATATTTAGTTTAGATACTTAAAAAAATTAAAAACATACGTTTTATAAGAACATCATGGAATTCATGTTTGATAAAATAAATTAATTTATAAATATAATGTCATAACATTAGTCAGATATTTCACAAAACTAATCTATTAATTCTAACTAAAAAATGAACAACATGCAATGTGAGCCAATACTATTAAAACAAGTAAATTAGAATCATGAATATAATACAATTTCAAAATTCAAAAAAAAAAAAAAGAAGTTTAACATATGTCAAATTCCGACATAATATAGTAAGTTCCATTGCAACTTAAGATTAGGAAACATGACAAGTTTATAACCACATTCAACAATGAAGTTCCACTTTAATTGCATCACTCATTATATGCCAAGTTTGTTAATGACTCATTAATATTTTTAATATTAGGAGGTGTAGTTTCAAAAAATAAAAAATAAAATATAAGCAATTACATGAAATCACAAGAAGTAAAGATAGAGAAACAAAAGATAAATAATATACAAAGAAAATATATTTTAAAATTTCAAAAGAAATTAAAAAGTAAAAATAAAATTAAAAATTAAAATAATAGAAATAAAAAGTTATAAAGAAAATAAATTAAAATAAAACAAAAAGTAAAGAAACTAAAAAGCAACTTATAATTACAGAATGTAAATAACAATTACTTTGCCAAACAAATATATGTGTCAATTACGTCCAAATAGGATAAAATAAATATTGTAAAACATAAAGCCCTAGGGATTGAAACATTAGAAATCTGTCTCTTCCTCCATTCCAATTTGACCTACAATTACAAAATCACAGTACCCAAAACCCCCCAAACCGACCATAAAGATTGAATCTTGAATCTTGGTTAGAACATTAGATAATGGAGGAGGAGTCAGCAAAGAGAAAGGAAAGGCTAAAAGCTATGAGAATGGAAGCTTCACAAAGTGGAGATTACAATGAAACTCAGAATCATTTACAAGGTCTTAGCAACCCTTTAATTGAATCTCCTTCAGGACAGGCTGAATTTCATGCTGCCCCAAGATTTGATTATTACACTGACCCCATGGCTGCTTTTTCTGCTAACAAAAAGTGGAATGACGTCAGCCCTCAAGTTTCTCAACCATGTTACACCCCTCCAAGTAAGTACCTTGTTTTTTTTTTTTGACTTCAAAGATACAAACATGTGCTAAAATATATGTGGATGTTGCTCTGTGAAGTATTTTTTGTGTGGATATTATGACATTTGGTGTGACTATACTAGTTTGTAATCTTGCCTTAGATGATAAGATATGGTGATTTGATTTCAAGCATAGTTGATTTAATATTAGTTTCAGATTAAAAGAGTTGTCAAACCTTTAATTCGTAGCTCAGTGTTTTCTAGGAGCAAACAGTGCACGAGGTCCGTGAGGCTTGAAGCGAAAAGTGAGAAGTGATGGCACAACTTATCAAAAGTAAAATACGACTAAACGGATGAGGATTTAGTAATTGTAATAATCAATATGCAAGTACAGTTACTACTTAGCGTTCAATATACAATAATGACGGCTGTTATCCAACTGATAGAAATCATCATAAAAATATAAATTTAACTAGACCATCCAAAAGATATTTCAATCACAAAATATTTTTTTCCATTTTTTATTAATCAACCATAAAAAGGATCAATTTTCAGCATTCAATTTCATAGTATTTGATTACTTCAGTAGTTGTACTACAAGAGGACAGAAGTAAAAGAGAAGTCTGGAATCGGAAAATGATTTGGAAGACCAGAGCACCAGTGAAGGTAGCATGCTTTGATGGTCAGCAACGTGGGAGGTTTGTTTGACTCAAGACAACTTGCAGAAAAGAGGCTTCAGTGTATGTAACAGATGTTATATGTGTGAAGAAGAAGAACAGGAAACAGTGAACCTTCTTCTCCTCCATTGCAGAGTATCTAGACAGTGTTGTGATCTATTCTAAGTTGCTCGGACACGTGTGTGGGTGACCGACACGGGTGTGGATCTAGAGATCGGATCCTTCGAGATATAAATTCTAAGATTCGGGGATACGGATCCTAGTACGGATACGAGTGCGAGGATCCGGCTAAAAATAATTCAAAAATATAAAAATATCACTAAATTATGAAATTTTTTGTGGAATGCTTACGTATTAGCTTGTAATGTATGGACTTCTTTTTTATTCTCAAGTTGTAGATAAGTAAAAGATTGATTTCTTAGATAAGATATGTCATTTTCTTCAAATTTACCCGAGTTTTGGGTCTGATTTCGGGAATCAAATTGTATCTCGTCTCGAATTTTTCCGTCCGTCGTGGTCAAAGTACCCAAGATTGTTTGACCAAATTCGGTACGGATCCCATACCCACACCCATACGAGTGTCGCGTCGACATTGGTGTGGCACCTAAACTGCTGTGTCGGAGCACCTTAGGATCTATTCTTAAGCATTTGTGGCATTTCTTGGGTGAGTCTCAAACTGTAAGGGGTTTATTAGAAAATTGGCAATCTCAGAAAGTACCTAGAAGACTAAAGCAGATCTTGAGAACCATTCCATTATGCATCACATGGACATTATGGTTGGAGATGAACAAAGCTAGATTTGAAGGGCGTAGAAATCACATTATTAGAATTAAGAATAAATGTCTTCATAATCTGTATTATTGGTGTAAATGTAGCCCCATAGGAAATCTGGATCAGTATATGGAGTTCCTGGACATGCTAGGAGGGGTAGAATAGAAGTTGGATGATGTTGTTTGGGATGTTTTTTGTATCTTTTTGTGCCATCTTGGTACTTTTTAATAAACTTTTACCTTATCAAAAAAAAGAAGAAGAAGAGAAGATTGGAATCAGAAGTATTAGAAAAAGAGGACTTGCACAAGTGGGACTTAAAGAGAAGGAAGAGAAGACCAGGTAGCTCTTATGTGGGTTGTGTGGAGAAGAGGAATAGGAGAGCTTTTGGAGGGGTAGAGAGTTATTTTGTACATGTGAGGAGTAGTCTCGTTTCTCTAGTTTCTTTTTCCCGCCCCCATGAAGTTCTTGGTTTTATAGATTAGTGGGTGACTTTTGTACCGTATTAAAAGTCTAGATTTCTCTACTTTTTGGGATACTTATATATGGGGGTTACCCCAACATTAATAAAATTATATAAGGACATGTAGATTGGGGGGGGGGGGAAAGTATGGAACCT